TTTTTCTCTAAAATAATTAACATCAAGGAAGAAAAAGTTTTTAGTTGCATAAGTATACGATTGAGACAAAAAAAAACCAAAATGTTATTGCACTTAATTACGACATATAATAAAGCTAAAGGGACTTTAGATAAGACATACATCGATCACAAATTTGTTTTGTTCTTATTGTAGTAGACAAAAAAAGAAAAAACTAAATAATGATAAAGATAAATGAACAAACATTGGAATAATAATAATAATAATGAATTAAAAAGAGAAAGAAAAAATAGAATCGAATCTATAAGATAATAATTATGATTAAATGGAAGGATAGACAGATTATAACAACACAGAATGCTAATAAATATCATGAAAAAAGAAAAGAAAAGGAAAATTAACTTTCTTCCATATCTCGAAATGCTGTTTGCATACGTTCATTGAGCTCTTCAAGATCACGTTTTATTTTTTCTTCACTATCTTTTGTTGGATCCTAAATTAATTTAGAAATGTTATAATATTCAATTGAAATATTCAATAAATTAAAAATTTACCTTAAATTTCATACTACTTAATTGATGAATAGTATCTCCTAGATTTGTTCGTATATCATTCCATGTTATTTTCTTTTCTGATTGAGCTGTTGTTTCAACAGCATGTCGTGCTAAATCATAAAATGCAATCATATTACGAAGCATTGCAACACATTTATAAAATGGACAATATCTTTAAAAAAAAACAAAGCAAAATAAAATATATAATTTCAAAAAACAAACAAACAAGAAAATATTTTTTTTTTCTTACTTATCATATGATGAATAACCATTTTGTTGAAGAAAATCATCTTTTATCATACGTGCTACTTCAAGTGTTATTTTATCTGTTTCAGCTAATGATGCTTTACCAACAAGTTGTACTATATCAGAAAGATCTTCTTCTTCTTGCAAAATTTCTTTACACTAAATTAAAAATAAAAAACAAAATTTTGTTTTCATATTTAACATAAGAATGAAATTCATACTTTAGCACGTAATGGTACAAATTCTGGATAATGTTTATCATAATAATCATCAAGAGCACGTGTATATTTACTATATGAAATAAGCCAGTTAACCGACGGAAAATGTTTTCGTTGTGCTAATTTTTTATCTAAACCCCAAAATACTTGTACAATACTTAATGTTGCTGATGTAACTGGATCAGCAAAATCACCACCAGGTGGAGAAACGCTAAAAATAAAACAAAAATCATACATTTTATTTTATTTATTCACTGTCCTGGACAAAACTAATCGTCTCCTCTTCCATGATGTGACACTATTCTTCATGATATTAAGTTGATATTTTGGATGCATGCATGCAACAATAAATCTTGATTGCAAGTATCAACCCGCAACATATACAGCAAAAATATGTACTCAAAAAGTTTTTGTTTGTCATTCTACTATTCCATAAGCTACTACTGTTTCTTTTTAGCTCTAAAGACAGTCTCATATGTCCACTTTACTATCACCAAAGCCCATGACACATAGTCAAGATCTTAGTAAGTTCAGTGCATGTGAACCGATATAGGACGGATTGGTTTTGTTGCATGCATGCATACAAAATATCAGTTCAATATCTTAAAAAACGTTAGCACTTCATGAGAGGATGACACCTTTTGTCCAGGACTGTATCTTTTTTTTTTCGTTTATATGTTATACTTACGCTCCGACAATGCTTACAGAACCTTCACGTTCTGGATTACCCAAACATCGAACACGACCAGCACGTTCATAAAATGAAGCTAAACGAGTACCTAAATAAGCCGGATAACCCGAATCTAAAATAAGCAATCGTTATTATGGTTTTAGATTTTCAAAAATCAAGATCCAACCAGCAGGCATTTCAGCTAAACGACCAGAAATTTCACGTAAAGCTTCAGCCCAACGTGATGTTGAATCAGCCATCATAGCAACATTATAACCCATATCACGAAAATATTCTGATAATGTAATACCTTTAAAGAAAAACAAAAATCATAAACTTTCAATAAACATTAATTAATCAAATTTACCTGTATAAATCGAAGCTTCACGAGCAGCAACAGGCATATTCGATGTGTTTGCAACTAAAGTTGTTCGTTCCATAATTGATACTTCTTTACCTTCTACTTCCATTTTTAACTACGAAATATTTTTTTTTACGATAAATCACATTTAAAAAAAAACAAAGAATTAAATTTTTTACTTGAGGAAAATCACGCAATACTTCAGCCATTTCATTTCCACGTTCACCACAACCAACATAAACAATAGCATCACTATTAGAAAATTTCGAAAGTGATTGTGAGATAACAGTTTTTCCACAGCCAAAGGCACCTGGAATAGCTGTTGTACCACCTTGTACACATCTAAACATATCAACAAATTTGTTTTGTTTTTTTTTGTCAACAAAACAAAATTCAAATACATACGGAAATAATGCATCTAATACACGTTGACCAGTTAATAATGGATGATTAGCTGCAAGTTTTTCAACTACTGGTCGCATCTGTCGAACAGGCCATATTTGAAGCATTGTATGTTTAGTTTTTTCTCCATCAAATTCTGTTTCAAGAACAACATCCTATTCATTTGTTTTCAAAACAATTAAAATCAAATTAAGTAAAAAAAACCACTTTTATTCAACAAACGTCAAGTGTATAATTGCCTTCCGGTGCAATATATGTTATTGTTCCTTTGGATTTTGGATGAAGCATTATTCGATGTTTAATCATTTTATTCTCTGGTACTGTGCCAAATATATCACCACCGGTTATATGACTACCAACCTAACAAGAAAAAAAGATGAAACAAAAAAATATATGAAATTCAACTTAAAAAAATAAAATAGTCATACTCGGATACGATTGTCTGGTGCAAAATTCCATGATGTTGAACGACTTAATGCAGGTACATTGATACCACGTGGAATGTAAATACTCTGCGTATGCTCATAAATAACTTCAAGAGGTCGTTGAATACCTATACGAAAAATTATCATATGTATAAAGGACTTTTTTTTTTTAAATAAATCTTTCTTACCGTCGAAAATACTAGTCATAATGCCAGGACCAAGTTCAACTGATAATGGTTTGCCTGTTCTTAAAACTGGATCACCAACCGTAACACCAGCTAAAAAAGAATATTTAAAATACATATTTTAATATTGAATGAAAATCTTTTTTGAAATACATGTTTCTTCATAAACTTGAATTGTTGCCAAATCATTTTCTAAACGAATAATTTCGCCGACTAATTCTTCATGACCAACACGAACCTATACAAAAAAAAGAGAACGAGTCTTCTATTATGTTTTAGCATACAAACTTTTTAGCAAAATCTTTTAATATGAATTTCTATACATAAAGGATCGAATATTGTTATTAAATTTTATTTAGTTCATTATGATCATATTTCAAATACAAAGTAAAAATACAAAAAAAAACAACTACAGTTGAACTTCACTTTTTCATAAACTGATGAAGGAAGTATTCCAATTGAGTAGTTGCTTTTGAGTTGAAACTATGTGCTTCACGTAGATCCTAGTGAGTTATGAATACTCGGAAAAGAGTCTGAGCCCATAGCTTATTACTGTCGACATATTACATCTTTACGGTATATTTTTCAACATAATGACATCTTTCCCTTTACGAATACTAGGAAAACTAATTTTCGAATTTCGATTTGAAACTCTCCACAGAGATTGAGTTTATCGAGAATAGTTTAGTGTGAAATTTTCAGATATTTTTGCCGTTTCTATCCCAAAATCCCACTTGTCTTTTACATTACTCATATACATCAGTAGATTCGATGGCCTTATTTCAAGAAAGAAGCAAATCAAAAGACCGAAAACCTTCAAAACACACTATTCTAGTTAAGATCTGTCTCTATGCAAAGTTTCAAGTCAAAATCTGAAAATGAATTTTCCTAGTGTTCCTGAGGAGGTGGCGACGGTATTGACTTCAAAAATACCATAAAAATGCAGTATCTCTGGAGCCATAAGCTCACACCAAGAAATCTTTTCAGGGTATTCCCAGTTCATTAGGATCTACATGATGTACATAATTCAGACTCGAAAGTAATTAATCAGTTGGAGGATTTCCTTCATGAGCTTTTAAATTTCGTTACTGTTAATAATGTTTAACAAATGAGTGCTTATTTTCTTTCGATCATCATTTTCTTCATTATTATCATCATTTTCGTCTTCTATATGTTGATAAACGTACTAATTCATTTTTTTAATGTTAATCAATAGTCGAAATAGTCTCAACACTTGAATCATCATTAGAATTGTTACAATTATCAAAATTTGATTCTTCTTCGTCGCAATGAAGTACAAGATGTTATTCATCCATATTTTATATATTTACTAAATGTGTATTACTGCTGATGCAATAGACATATAATATTAATTGCTTTCTCTTGTTTTATTCTAGCTGAAAATAGTTTTTTCTTCTTTCGAAGAAAATAGATTTTCCTTATGTATAGATAAGCTATTATTTTCTCTTCAATTCTTTCATAACTTTTACTCTCCGATAAACATGATTCAGTAATAATTCAACAAAGGCTTTTCTCATAAGACCTGGATTGTCTATTATGAAATTCACATTGTTCTGCGTAGAGGATCTTCCAACATATATGGAGAGGTTTATAAATTTTATCAATCTTACCAATTCATTAATTGCCGAACCAGCCATATGGTTAGCTATAACGACTAAAATAAAAACAAAAAGAGATTAGCCTATTCATCGAAATAAATAAATTTTTCATACCTGGACCCGAAACTCCGAAGACATAACCATATTTAGCTTCTCGTTCAACACCAGCTACTTTTGGAAGTTTATCTCTACTAACCATGTCTTTATTATAATGATAAGAAAAGAAAATCAATCGATCTAGAACGAAAATTGAGTTTTTTTGTTTGTTTCAATTGTAATAACAATTAGTAGCAAAAAAAATCAAAAAAAAACAATAAGAACACAAAAAAAGGAAGTGTACATTAAACTTTTTTTTCTTTTTTAGTTTTTTTAGTTTTTCTTTTGGATAAATTCATTTCATCTTGATCATCATTTAAATGCCCACTACTAGATGGTAAATTTGTATTTGTTGATAATGTTGGTGTACTTGTTGTTCGATTAAGAATGCCAGCAACGGGTGTTGTTGTTTGTTGTTGTATAACAGGTGTTGCATCAGCTGGTGCTTTTCGTTTAACATCTGGTGATACACGTGATGTTTGTTCATTAATAACACGTTGAACTTGTGGTGAAGGTCCAGGTATAGGATTTGTAACTGGTGGAGGAAGAAGTGTTTCTGCTATTGGTGCTGAACGTGGTTCTTTAGGGGAACTTGTATATATTTGATATAGATCAGGTAGTATTGGTTCACGATGTAAACGGAATGCACTAAGTTGTTGTTCAGTAAGTGGTAGAATTTCTTTTGAAATAATTGGACCAGCAAATAATGAACGTAATGTACCAACACCACCATGTGCATCACCAGCAAACGAAGCTGCTTTATGATGTGCTGTTTCAGCTAATGGAATATCTGTTAAAAAATCACTTAATGATGGTGGTATTGGTTGTTTAACATATTTATCAAAATCACGACTTAAACCCCAATGAACAATAAGATTTGTACTACCAGTTGGTGGTTGTTCAAGTGGATAATGACTTAAAAGATAGAATGGTGGTGATGGTCGTTGTGGTTGAAATTGTTGTTGTTGTTGTTGTTGTGATGAACCAGAATCAAGTATAAGAAGATCATCATGTGGCATATTTCCATTTGTTTTTGATATATGATATCCTCCCGTTAAACTCATATTCTTTTTTAATCTAAAAAAAAAAGAATGTAAAACCAAAACAAAGCCATGCAAGTCTATTTTTTGAGAGCAAATTCAATGACTAAATTAAAAAAGACCTCTACTATATAAGATTTGTTTTTTCTAGCAAAAAAAAAGACACAAGTCAAGCAATTAAATATTAATAAATAAAAACTATTATATGAAAGACTTAGAAACTCATTCATGTATTCATTCATTGAGATTTCATTTCTTTTTTTTTTATTTTGTTGTCAATTAATTGTTGATGCTAATCAGTCATCTTCCCACACATATGTACGAGTATAAATAAAACCTTGTTTTACGGCTGCATCGAATGCTTCACGTATTCCTATGGCACCAAATTTATATGGAATAATTTGTAATTTTTTCTTCTCAATTTCAGCGAGTATTGGATCAATAATACGCCATGCTTCTTGTAATTCATCAGAACGTACAAAATTTATTTTTGAACCCATAAATACATCAAGTATTAAACGTTCATATGCATTAGGTAATTTTACACCTTGATATCGTTCATTATAAGTTAAATCTAATTCAGTTTCTTCAATACTAAAATTCATTTCACCAGGTCGTTTTGTATTTATTTTAAGATAAATAGCTTCATCAGGTTGTATACGAATAACAAGTTCATCACGAGCTAATGTTCCTTCAACATTATTTTCCGATAGTTCTTCATCAAACATTCTACCAGGTACATCACGAAATTGAATACGAATTTCAGCTTTTCTTTCATTTAATGCTTTGCCTATAAACAATCAGTTTTTAGCATGAAAACTTTAGAACATCAAAAAAACAAATTTTAATACTTCTAACTATGATAGATATTAATGTAGATAGTGAGTAGTATATTGATATACTACAATTATTATGCACTAATATATTTCATTGAGCAAAGGTTCCAAAATATGCATTAATATTTAAAACACAATAACACGTATTAGAGATAGGATCGGTTCCAAAGGAGCACGAGCCAATTTCATCTCTAGCATGGAATGAGTGAAGCAAATTGGACCAAAGGATGTAACTACAGATGCAGAATCTACCGCTAAAATAAAAATATTTTTTCTAACGAAGAGAAATTCTTCAAAAATTTGTTCTATCATCAAAATAAAATAAATATACATATTGAAAAAGAATCAAAAGGCGTACAAAGCTACTACGCACTCAAAATAGCGTTATGTAAAAAATAAATTAGTTTTATCAAGCATTGAATAATACTGATAGTCTTAGTACTTGGTTATTCTAGAAACTATTTACCACAATTGAAATGAGGCTTAAAAGTTTTGATGTTAGATATTGTTCATTTCGTTTCAATTGTCTCCAACCGTAGTGGAACCACCGAGGTTGAGATGAAAAGTTACAGATAAGGACGATGAAAGTAATAAATTACATTGAGGATTAGCAGGATAATGAAGTTTTCTAACCTGTTATCTTGCCTTCAATAGTTTCGTCGTGGCTTGTAGCGAACAGTTTTTTATGTGTATTAGAAAAAATAAAATAAAGGTTAACCTAAACAGCAATCCAAACAGACAAAATGCGCTAGTACTATCCAGATTCGAAGGACATAACAAAATAAAACAAAATGTAATATAGGATATACGCACATCGAAAGAGAGATACATTGTCTGATGAAACGAATTGAACAAAAAAGAAGTTGGATTGTTCCCTGTTGAGAAATCAACCGTTTAATTTTTACATGAACAAAGTTTTCATGTAGATTATAATATTTCTCAAAATTTTCTCCTACGCATGTAGAACCACACTGGTAGATTCTGCAAGTCTGTATGTATCACATATACTTTCCATTTATGAGAAATTGTCATTTCTCCTTAACTGTGTCGGGACATTTTCTTGTCGGTTGCTATAAAGAAACTATTTTTTCCTTCAAAAAAAAATCATAACCTTTCTCCTGTATCTCAATGTTGATTGCTTCGAGGAAGAAATATGTAAGATAGAAAGCGTTTTTCAAGGTAATATGGCAATAAAAAAAACTCTTGTTCTTCTTTAGAGAATACTTTGATTCCGAAAAGAGAATTTCATCGGATCGTAAGATTACACTAATACTAAAGTACACGTTGAGTTCTACATAATTTTTTTTTGAAACTAAAACTATACCTGCACGAAGTATGAATGGAACACCATCCCAACGTTCATTCTTTATAAAAACAATGATTTGTGCATATGTTGGTGTTGTAGAATCTTTTGGTACATTTTTATCATCTAAATAACCTAGTTGACGCTCACTGTCAGTTGATTTTTTATCACCAATATATTGTCCAACAATAACATTTTCTAATTTAATTGGTGCTATACAACGTAATACTTTCACTTTTTCATCGCGAATATCTTCACCAGTTGTTGAACGTGGTTTTTCCATTGCAAGAATCGATAAGATCTGCATTAAGTGATTTTGTATGACGTCACTTTAAAAAAATAATCAATCATAATGTTCAATTCAAATATAAATATCATCTCAATACTTCATTTATTCAGTTCAAAACAAATAGAACTTCTCAACCATGGACAACAACGTGAGTATTAGATGAAAAAAAATGAAAGTGAGATTTTTGATGGTTTGAATAATGTAAACTATATCATTGGCTAATGACCAATTAAATAAAACGAAAGATTTTGTTCCGATTTCTCAGTTTACTGGAAAAAATCTTGATCATAAAATAAGGACACTTTTGTAACGACCTGAAAAAGAAATTTATGTTTTTCTAAGAGAAAGTAGAAAGAATGGATTAGCATATTGTATATATTCTGACAGTAGAGTGCGAAATCTTTTCAGTATATTTATAGTTCATTTGGCTCTACACAATGCACGCAGTCTCGACTCAAAAGCGATCGAACCGTTAGAACACTTCCTTCGTAAGATCTGAGCTTTTCAAAAATTCTTCGTTTTCTCGGCTTTCCATAATTATCTTGGCTCAGAAGCACTTTTCAACCTAAATAATATAAGATTCAGAATCAACGTAAGAAACTGCGTCGAATAATATGTAGTTTGTTAGTTTTATAAAATAAAAATTTGTTTGTCAAAAATTGAGACTAAGGATTTACTTTAGGAACTTTTCGTGACAAAAAAACTTTTTTCAGCGGTTACTATTTTCTAAATAGTAGAAACGCATATTTTTATAGAAAAAAAAAACAATTTTTACAAAAAATAAGTTATGTCCATGTGAAACTCTATTTTGAATATTCGTCTTAAATATGATAACAAATAAAATAAAATTCATTCATACCGAATAATACCAACTTCATCGAAATAACTACCATGTCTATGTGTTCCAATCTTTTCTTTAAAAATAATTTGTACTCCTGCAATTGAATCTCGATTCCAAACACGTGAAAATATTCTATTAGAAAATCGAAGTACCAATATATTTTGTACCATTTCTTTTCCCAAATAATGATCAATACGATAAATTTCTTCTTCAGTATATAATTTATTTAAATGTTGAGAAAATTTATTTGAACTTTCAAGATCTTTACCAAATGGTTTTTCAATAATTAAACGTAACCAACCAGGTCTTAAAAGACAAAAAGACAAGCCAAATAAAAACAACGACAAAAAAAATATAAAATCATGCTAATTTCCATACGATGCCGCACGACAATGTTTACTAATTAATTCCGATACACTTTCATAAACATTTGGTGGTAAAGCTAAATAAAAAAGTCGATGAGCATTCACTTGATGTGATATTTTATTTGCTTTAGAATTTAAATTTTCAAAATCTTCAGATTTATCATAAGAACCAGAAATATATGAATTAAGTTTAAGAAATTTTTCATAAATATCATGTTCATCTTCTTGAATCTAATCGAATCAAATTAAAAAACAAAATAGATTTTCAATACAAAAAAAAAAATTTCATCTTCTTACCTTCATATATTTATGAGAATTTTCAAATATTTGTTCAATTGTCAATTGGCTACGAGAATAACCAATAAAAGAAATATTTTTCGGTAAAACACCATCACGATAAAGCCACCTGTCAAAAAAAAAACATGAATCATATTTTATTTTTTGTTTCTCACAAACCAAAGTGTTGGATAGATTTTCCTTTTAGCTAAATCACCCTAGAAGAATTTAGAAACAAAAAACTAGAATTTTATTATTACACAAATATATTAAACATACAGATGCACCAATGATAAAAAATACATATGATTGAGATGTTATTGATGATTCATTGCTAGTAATTTGTGTACGTAAACGTTCATAAATATAATCAATTTTTTCTACTGTAAATTTTTTTGTTGTACTCATGATAATATGGTTGTTTTCGTTAATACTACACGCAATTAACGTATAAGTGTTTAATTCTAATAATTATTCCTTGTATTCAGATTAAGAAAACCAAAATAAAAAAAAAAAAATTTTGTTACGACATGTTGACGCAAATATAAATAAGATAATATCTAATTTAGTCATATAAAGACTGACAAGCACTGTAAATCAACGTCCAATGAATCGTGTCATACGCCAGTATCAAAGATGTCGTACTTATCAATATATTCGTTCTGTTGCATTTACCATAGCAAATCTATATGTCAATAATAGTTATAAGCACGAAATAGTATGTTAAAGAAATAAGTATAAAACAAATGTTATTATTAGTATTTTCGATGAAATAATTTCATGTATAAAAGATTTTCAGAAGTATTGCATGAATTCTTATACAGATTGTAGAAGTTTCATCCCATTGATCTGCTTTCAATGAAGATATATTGAGCATACACAATTTATTCGTCTTATACATGCAAATAGATTCAGGGTAAATGTGGATAATAGGACACGGAAGAAAAAAATTTGATAATACTGTACAAAAAATTAAAAGAATCGGGGCTCATGTTTTAATTACAACGAATGTCATACATTCTTTTACCTATTTGAAAAGTGTGTAAAAACATATTTTGTAAAACGTCATTTTAAGATGAATAATATAATCGATAAATGGCAACACAGACCAATACAGAGACCCACAACGGTATGTGGAAGTTCTCCCAGATTTTTGAAACCGTTTCAGTTCTATAAATCATCGGATTAAAAAGAAATGCAAAGAAATTAAAGAATCTACCGATAAGAAATCAGGACATGTTTGTAAGAGTTGAGCCTTGGAAACAAAAGCATTTATATTTTACAGATCTATTTCTATGCTGTAGTGGCGGCGTCAATTAAATTCGTCGAAAATTCTAATGATCGTTGGTAGTGACAGTTCAGCTTGTTATTTTATAGCTTTAACATCGCGAGCAAAAAGAAACTGGTCATCTTCTGAGCAGAGAGCAGAATAATGTAGAAAAATAACCTCTGTCAGTTCTAGTGAAAATAAAGAAACCAAATTTTTTCTATACAGCAATGAAGATAGAACAGATCAGAGTTAGGAAACAAAAGCTTAGCGTTTTTGATTATTCAATGCTTGACGAATAGTTGAACTGTGAGTGTTCGTTGTCTGATTCGTTCATCTTGATTCAACTGAACATGTTTTTAAAAATTTTTTGTATTTCATTCAGCATTCAAAAATATGTTTGTTGAAAGGTTTCGACTTTCTATACAAATTTTTAATATATAATTATCGCTAAGCACCGCAGTCAGTCGATTCGATTTGATACTAAAAAAGACATTCGAATCAGACGTAATTCATCATTACTAAAGAAAAAGATAAGAAATTATTGACTCTGAGACAGCTGTAACAAATCGTTTGAATTTTACTGGAAAAGAATCTTGTTAGACAATGAAATTTCTTAAAATTCTCTACCCTTTGATAAAAGCTTTCTTTATCGGATGAATCAAAATACAAAGATTTTCATTTCTAGAATTTATCAGAATATCATGTTCATATGATGTGAACTTCTCCTTCAAGAGATCAATAAACAAAAAATATAGATCTATCTTGAAGCTGTTCAAGTAATAGAGAAATCAATATCGATTAGGAGTGAAAAATGAATTGAATGAAATAGTCAATTATTTTAAAACAATTGATTAAGAACTTTTGCGATAAGATATACAATCAAGAATATTCAAGAGACAAATTATTAAAAAAATTAGTTTGATAGTCTCTTTCGCTTTGAAAGAATTTACACAAACGTTGTAAAGATATTTTCGGAAAAATGATATCGATTTCAATTCGATTTAATTGTTTTTTTCTTTTACAAATTGACACCATCTTCACAAGTGAAAATCATCTCTCGATCTGAAAAATAAATTCATTTTTTGTTTAACAGACAAACAAATTTTAGAAGTCTAAAATATTTGATATACAAATATTTGTAAAAGATTCAAGAAAACGATCAATTTCTTTGTTTTTCTCATACAGTCACTTTTAATTGATCTAATTTTGTTGAGATACATTCGTAATTTAGTCACTCTCTTATTAATTCTGAAACTATTCATGTATTTCGCATTATTTGATCATATTTTTTGGAATGGTTCTTCAATCTATGATGTTTACCATAAAACGTTGAAATGAATATAAATAAAATACTTTATAGTTATATTGAAATATTTTGTCTGAAGTAAAATAATCAGCATAGATGAATGAATCACCTATAGTTTGTAAAACAAAACAATAGATGTCGCTCGAAAATATGCGCGAGAGATAAAAGAAAAACTGAATGCAACGCGTGTAGTGACCGTTTAAGGGAATCCAACGAGTTAACGGAAAGAGTGTGAAATGAATAGATGTCACGGTAGAGCTTTCATGGCGGACCAATAGGATTTAGAGTCTATAAAGTATGGATATTCTATATTTTACTAAAACTGAAGCTCATTGGTCCGGCATTAGAACGTCAATGTGACTTCTATTCATTTTACAGTATTTCCCTTAACTCGTTGAATTCCCTTAAACTGTTACCACAGTAATGGCTGATGGATCGCTTATACCTTGGTGTTTCTTTGTTTAAATTTAAAATAAAAGCGATCGATATGTATACATACATTCATAACATATACAAACCATGTGTTTTCCACACAAGGTATGCTCATAATTTTACTCCATGGTTTAACGGCGATCAAGGTTTTATTGAATATATCATCTGTGAATTTATTGGTATAAAGTATTATTGATCTTAATTATCATGGCATTTTTTTCCCGTAATCCTTTATGTACAAGTACTAAGGAGGTTTGTTAAACACACATCGAATGAGATTCTAATTGATTTAAAATTATCAAAGAAAAAAAAGAATCACTTTTTAATTTTAGAATGAAGATCCAAAACCACCAAAAATAGTTGAAAAACTTCAAACTGAAATTAATCAGTTGAACATCGAGTGGGGACAGGCATTTAAAGATCAATTGCAGGAAAATCAAAAACTTCGCGATCAACTGCAGGAATATCAAACGTTTAAAGAAAAACATCTTCAAGATATTCAAGATATCGTTGAAATACTAATTGATGGAATGATAACAAGAATTGAACGTGATACAGATGGTGAAAAACGTGAATTATTATCTGATGATGGTAGTGAAGAAGAACGACCAAAAAAAAAGCTCGCATCAATTGATATATTAATATAACTTAGTTATATTAAATAAAAATATAATTTTCTTTGTTAAATGCGAGTTTTTTTGTCAAATGCATTTTTTTTCTCAAATATAATTTTTTTATCAGATGCTCAGATGCAATTTTTTTCTCAAATGTAGTTTTTTTTGTCAGACATAATTTTTTTTAGTACTATCGCCTTAAAAAATGTGTACATGGATGTTCATTAGAGCCCATCGGGTCCAAGAATTTCTGGACCCGGATCCGGCCGATTAAAAATTTTTGCACCCGGACCCGACCTGGACCCAGTGAATTTAATTTTTCTGGACCCGGATCCGGACCCGGTCAAATATAATTTTCAGATCCAGACCCGGCCGGGTCCGGTTCAGGTCGCACCCGATGGGCTCTAATGTTCATCCTTTTCTTGCAAATGATTTTTTTGTACAGTTTTTTGTGCTTAAATCTAAGACGATGTCTATTTTTCTGCATATGTATAACATTTAAATGATTAAAAAAATGCAATTAAAGGAATCGATGTTTTTGACTAAAAGCAAAAAGAAAATACGTTGAACAAGATAAGAATATAAATCCTGTAGTGTAGGATTAAGTTAAAGAATTTCTTAAATAGTATTTGTTACATTTTATGAGATATATGGTGGGAAAGTTTTTGATTTACTTAATAATAAAAAAAACGTTTACGGATATTAGAAGATCAAAAAAATCTTGTTCAAGTTTGTGATCGAAAAGAACAACAAGTTAAATCTGTTCAAGATGTATTAAATATCATCCAATGTAAGTCGTTAATAATGTTTCTTTTTCTTTAATTAAAATTCAATATGATTTAGATGGTACGAGTATTCGAACATCTGGTACAACAGCAGCTAATTCAGATTGTTCTTGATCACATGCTGTTCTACAAATTATTTTTTCTATAATCAGTGACATCTATCATAGAATTAGTTTTATAGAATTTGAAACTTATTTTTCTACATAAAAAAATTTTCGTAATTAATTATATTTAATAGAATAATTTTTTCTTGAGTTACGGTTGCTTAACAACATGAGGCAGATATTCATTGATTATGGTAATTATATAATCGATCTATATTTGTTGTTTGTTGGGACAGATTAAATTTGAAAAAAAAATGCAAGTAGCAAATCGAACAACTCGCCGTTATGTCACACCATCTACGAAAACTCAACCGGGAAATAATCGTTCGACAAGCAAAAATCGTTCTAATATTCCAAATGTGTAAGAAAAAAAAACCGCAAAAGTGGATTACGGCTATTTAAAAAAGAAGTATCTGAATGATAACTAACTCGGTTTTTTTGTGTATTTCTCGGCTATTAACTATCTAATATTTTGGATAAAGAAAGATTCAGACTTTAGATCTATGAAAACTAAAATATTGATATTTTTTGCTTGTGGCTACACAAACCTCGAATTACGAATAGATGATATGCGTTAATATTCAGATACTGTTTGTTATTGAATACGTGTAAAAGAAAGTTTTATATAAATTGATTTTTAGATCCCAATCTTCGCCAAAGAAAGTTCTTGATACGCCAATATCAAAATCAAACGAACCACCAACATTAAAAAAGTTTGTTGTTTGAAATGTTTAAAATAATTATATAAATTTATTTGCTTTAGATTTGTTGATCGTTTTCGTTATGATGAACCTCAACCTCGACCAGAACGAGATTCAATTAATTCTGATTTTTGGTGGTTACATGGTAGATTATATATTATATTATTTCTATTTTCTTTTGTTAAAATTTAGATGAATTAAAAAATACTTGTTGTTCGAATGCTAATGAAAATGCTGAACGTAAATCAAATATTCCAGAATACATTGAAGTAAAATTGTTTTTTGATAATAAAATGATTGATTATTGTTTTTTATTATAGATATTTCCTTCGACAGATATTGATCAAGATTTAAATAAACGAGCATCTTTACTTCTTAATCAAACATTTAGTGCACATTCATCTGATGTCGGCCATGTATCAAGTACAGGTATTGGTTCGACTCCATCATCAACATTAACAAGAACAACAACAACAAATACTTTTCAGCCTATTGTTCATGAACAACCAGCTCGACCAATATTTACACGAATTAGTATATAAGAATAAAGCATATATTTAATAATCTTTTGTTTATTATTTTGTTAGCGGATTCAAAGTATAATTTTACAAATGATGGTAGTGACGATGATATTTTATATCAATGGCGTTTACGTAGACGACTAGAACAAGCACAAAATGGCGAACCCATAACATTTCCATCGAAAGTAATTATCAATCAATTTAGATTATTAATCTGTGTGAAACACGATCTAAAAGAATTGTTGAAGTGTAGAGATAAAAATTTGAACTTTTGCGTCACAGACTGTGATAGATATTGGTATACGACCACAGACTGTATGAAAATAACGTTTCATGTATAAAATATGAACTACTTCCTTATTGCATTTCTGCAGAAGGATGGTGAAGAAATGTATCCCGAAACCTATAGAATACAACAATCTTTCTATGATTAGCAATAGTAGATACATCGTATTTTACATTTTATCTCTCAGGACTTATGTTAATAGCTTTTATAACTAATTTTTGCAGATAACCAATCGAACTCGTGTATCTCCAGTACGTTCATTTTTACCTTCAACACCTATCGAAATACCAACAGTACTTCCACCACGTCCACCTTCTCCTCCAGTTATTAAACTATCATCACCTAAACAAGAACATCAACAATCATCAACGACAAATATCGAAACAGACCATATAAAACAACCTGTTACAACTCTAATACCAACTCGACAATATTCAGAAGCATGTACACAAACATTACAAGTATATTTATAACTTTTTCTTTTTTTTTTTTATAAACAAAGAATTTCTCTTTTCTGTTTAATAATAGGATGCTTGTATTCAAACATCATTGACTATTGAAAATCATCTTTCTTTCTCAAGTTCTGTTCCAAATGAAGTTGATCTTCGTCCAACACGTGATAATGATCATCATTCATCTATTTGGCATCGTCCACCACCACGATCAAAATGTGAAATAACACGAACATCATCATCACCATCACCATCACCTATTAAACGTCATCATCATCATCATCATCAAAGATCGGTCATAATTCCCTCAAATACTGTTCAATCTTCACAAGATAGTACATTAACACAAGTTACATCGATCATGATTAATGATAATAATAATAATACGGATAATCATTGTCAAATTAAAAATACTTCAAGTATGACTGTAATCGATGAATTTCATGAAAGACAACAACAAAGTAGTTTTTATAATGTATAAATGAAAGAGACAAATTTGATTTTGATCTTTAGATACTGGTGATGATCATATTGATTATTCGAATGATGAAATATTGAATATATTAATACAGAAACGAGACGAATTACTAATAGCATTTCGGTGAGATTTAATAAACTATAGGTTTTTTTCATAATGTCAAGAACTATCTATGATTTTTTTTCTCTATATTTAGAGAAATTGAACAACGCTTGGCAAATATAAATTCTGAATAAACTGAAGTTTTTTTCTCTTTTTATTTTATATCTCATGTCAGATTTTGATTTTTTTTTGTTTTTGTTTTGAATATTAATCCTAATGATCTGTTTTGTTTATTATTTCTTTCATATTATTTTAATAAATTGTATTATATAACAAATAAGATATGTGAATAGAATAGATTATTGTTGATTTTAAATGTCCACCCATAAATACAACTCACGACATTTGAACGTAGATCAAAAGATTTAGTTTACGATATCGCATACCAAGGTCATCGTGAACAGTATAAATCTAACTCTCGCATGCAAGACATCTTCTCAAAGGCAATGAAGATGCAATCTTATTTGTTGATCTTGATACTTTTAATTATCATTTATTCAAGTAAATATACTCGTTTGTTTAGTTTTTTCTTAATATAATACATATGAATTTTAGCTGATGCATGGATTCGAGTACGAAATAAAGGTGGTTATATAGCTCGATTTTATGTTGATTATCATTTACCTAATCTACCAAAGCAAATTTTTGTTTCTGGTTTCCAAATGCCTATAAAATTATTCGAACAAACATTATCATCTGGAAATTATCCAGTAGGCAAAACAAGGGTTATTGGTGTACCACGCAATGCACTTACTGCTCGTGTTCGTGTTGAACGTTTTATATTTTATCCATTTTTTGGTTGGTATTGGAAAGAAATATTTCGTCAAGAAGTTGATCCTCAAGATAAAGTTTGCTATGATATTTGGGGTACAACTGTTCACCCCTTTTGGACAAGTATTACTTGTTAAACAATAGACATGTATGAAATATTCTCGTACAACGTAGTTATTAGTAAGATTTAGATATATATGTGGGGAATAAAAAACGAAATATAACTCAAAGTTTAAAAACAATATGATTGAATATCTTTGATTTGTGATGAAATTGTATAATTGAATGGATTGCTTGATTGAAATTGACCTTTGGTTGTAATAGTATGTGTATGAAACGGTGCAATTTTGTTAAAACGTTTGTGACGCACTAAAGAATATGAAAAGAAATAACAAGATGAGTCAAATTTGTTTTTTTTGTTTTAGTATAAATGTCATCGATAGAAACGGTTGATTCTTTTCTAATCAATCAATTGAAAATTTTCATTTTTAATGAAAAAGAAAAACAACAAAGTGTTTGTGATTGTGTAAATTGATTTGATAATAATTCTTTCATATAAAGATCGACAGATGAGATATTTAAAAAGTAAATTAATATATGAAAAAGTTTAGCATTCAAACTGTTTCGTAAAAATAATAACGTCATTTATTTGTCATTAAATATAGATAGACATTGATTACAACAAACTCCAACACACATTTTCTCTATTCTTTACATGATGAACTTTGATATTTATATTGTACTGCTATACATATCCTTGATGATGTCTTGTTTATATTTGATTAAAAAAAAAATCTATTTCGTTGTTTTTATAGACTGTGTAAAAAAATGATTGGTGAAAATGATTTAACAATTCTAATCAGTCAAATATTATACAGTAAATATTGTCAAGATTTTATTACGTATCAAAAGGGTATCAAACACTTAAATAGTTGTAAAATAATGCTTGAAAAAGCTTTGAGAACTTTAAAAATATTCTCTTTTTTCCTAAGATATGAAACATTCATTTTATATTCTTTATAAATTTTTAGAAATATCTTTCAAATGATTACTTTGAAAACAAAAACTAATCTCTATGAATATATTTGTTTCTTTACTAACAATACATACTCGTTTGTTCAGCCGTCGGGATTCTATTATAAATAGAATTTAATCCATTTGACATCATAATGCAATGTTCGTTTCTTGATTTTGTTTGATTACAAAATTTTTTCATTTCGCAATATTTATCAGAATGATTTGATTGAAATATTTCTTTCATTTCTGATCTATTCAATTTCTGTGAATGAGGATTACAATTATCTAAGACTTAAGGTGAATTAAATATTTGTTTTGATAACTTAATCGTATTATTATTATTATTATTATTAATGATGACAGAGCTAAATAATATCAAATTATGAATTTGTTTTGTCTCGAAAAATTATTGTTTTTGCTTACAAGTTATAATTGTAACAATTATATGAGCACATGAAAAAAAAAATTTAAAGAAAAGATAATTGTATACGTATGTATATAAAACTTAAATGTAGCAGTTTAAAAATGAACAACAACAGATATTGAGCGCGTACGCGTAAAGTTTGTGAAACGCAAAAAAGAAAAAGGAAAGTTCTTGATATAGGTGAAAAATATAGAAAAAAGAAAGAAAAATGAACAAACATATACGAATGGTAATATTTACAGAAAATAAAACAAACATATGACCATTCAAGTGGAGAAGAATGTAAAAAAAACTGGAAAACTCTTCTGATATTTTTTCTTTTTGTTAGTATATATCTTTATCTTTCATCAAGCTCAAATAGCAATAAAAAAACAGATACCTAAAGCAAGTAAGGAAGAAAGAAAAACACTGAACATGTTAACATGTTGTTTTTGACCAGCATTCCAATAGTAACCACCATAACTATTTCCTCCTGATGGATACATATTCGATGAATAACCTGGACGATTATAAGAACCTGAATATTGATTGCCATAAGGATTGTACTGTCCCATTCCCTGACCATATTGTGAATCTAGAAAAATGACAGAAAATTGAGTTCATATTATCGCAATAAATAACAGTATGTACATTATATTAAAATGTATGAACTAATTCAATAAATATATCTGAAACTCTTTACTTACATTGTCCAGAACCATACTGATTATAACCACCCATACTACCATATGGATTATAACCTTGTGATCCGTAAGGATTTAGACCTTGTGATCCGTAAGGATTTAGACCTTGTGATCCGTAAGGGTTTTGACCTTGATATGGATAATATTGTCGACCGGCTTGATTTTGTCCTAAGTTAGAATCTTTGGATAATCCCATTCCACCTGGATTAAGTGGTGGCCGTCCTTGAGCATTTAAAATTTGAGGATTTGGTCCGAGTGGTTGTTGTCGAGCTTCTGGTTGAGGATTGAATGCATTTGCTTGCGAGTTTGGATTAGCTGCTTGTTGACCAGCATTTAACATAGACTGTCGTCGAAGACGACGTGATCGATTTGCATCAATTGCTGAAAGCAAAAAACACACATTAATAATTGATACTGAATCATTTTCATACCATTTACATATACATGTTTTACATGTACGTATATACTTAAACATATTCTGTTAAGTTATACTTGTTTTTTATTACTGAATTATCTGACAGAAAAAAGGTCATCGCCAATTTTTTTGTCGTACATTTAATACATTTGAACTATTTTGTTATTAATCTCTGTCGAACTTTTTATTTTATATTTTTTTTAATGAAGGTCAAATACTTCAAAATACAGAATTAGAAGAGATGTCAATTATTTTTAATCTATTAATCTTATATAAAATTTGTAATAGTTTGAATTTTTCATATAAAAATATAATTAAAGGTAAAAGAATTTGTTACAATTATGTTGCTCATATGTTTCGCGTAGAGGTACTTACGTACAGCTCATATACTTTTGAAATATATTTTCAAGGTTATGCTCTTGTCTGACACCTACTTTTTTATTAATGTAAGTTGTCAACAACAATAAACTACTGTACATACTTATAATATTCAATAAAAAGATAGTGATGATCACTTTCCAAAGCACAGCCATTTTATTTGATTAAATTTTGTAGTTTAAATTAATATTAAATCTAATTGAAAAAACGAATGGCAAATCAGTTATGGTATATGTTGAAATAAATTATGCAAAATGTTAAAAAGAGAAAGAGAGGAAAAAATTCCATTGACTGAATGTTCGAATTCTTTTTTCTATAGTTTTTTTTCCTTCCCCTTTTTTTTTCTTTCTCTACTTTATTAGTAATAACTATCATAAAACAAATGACGACAAAAAAAAAGAAAGACGAAGGAGTATGAGAAATGACGAATGACACTAGTGAAAGGAGCTGTTGAGTGCGCATACTAGCATAAACTTTTCTTCTGTCTCGCTTTTGCTTTCTCTCTCTCTTTCTCTCTTTCAATTTTTTCATTTGGTACCCTCTGGTGCGGTTACAATTCTTTTTTTTTTTTTTTTCGTTCCTTTCTTTCTTCCTTCCTTTATACAAACTCTCTGCAGTATTTTTATAAACGTAGTAGTAAATTTGTCATCTGTCCTCTTTAGTTCTTTCAATGGTACACCTAGACGAAGAGAACAAAAATGTTAAGCGCTGCGACTATCTCGCTCTGTCTCTGTATACATACTTCATGACATGAGCTACGGTCAGCAAGCAAAATTGTCATCTTTCTTTCTTGTCATGAAGTATAGGTCAGCATTCGTACAATGTCTTGTGTTTTTCTTACCTCAATGTACATAAACATAAAACGATAAAGCATTTCTTCTGTTTCGTTCTACGTAATGTTAATGGAATTTTTTTTTCTCTGTTGTTTGTCACCTCTGTGATGTATTTTTTTCATTAACTATGCAGTCTGTCTGACTTTCTGTCACTATATTCGTCCTCATCGATGCATGGTACATGAAAAGCATATATATATATTTTATCAACGTATGAAACATCATTGAAAACCATCATGTTCTGCAATGTTCTGGTTATTGAAAGGCAAATAAAATCATATTCAAGCCACAAATGTACATACGCGACTGGTGATGAAAAAAAGAGAAAGACAACGAACGCTGTTCACTTTTTTTTTTACGAATGTATTATGAGGAAAGTTATATGTATAATTTATATTTTTGTAATGGCAAAAAAGAAAAAAAAAACAATATAATTTTGTCATATTGTTTAGGCTCACGCAAGCCATTAACGATGAGAACGTCAGTTACAAGAAGAAAAACAGAAAAACATTAACCATATTGATAGATTTTTACAGATGATTTCACTTTTTCTTAACATCTTAAAACTTATAAAAAAATGCATCTGTTTTTTTTCTGTATGTACGCTAGGAATCAAGAATATTACACAAAACAAATCTGCTTTTTAATCAGTTCCTATTTAATATAGATTATCGATATTAGTATTTTATTTTCTGACCGTTTTCAAGAACAAAAAAAGAGAGAGAGAGAGCCATTTGCGGTGAATCATTTTATATAAATCATTAACGTTGTTAAAGGACAAAAATTACATCAATATTCGATTAGATTTGTTACGAAGTAATCATTCATTTTGTTACTTATATTAACTTGCTTTTGAAAATAACAATTCAATCTTTAATTAGAATAAAACATATGCATCAGGGATAGTATGACATAGTTTTTTGATGATTAACTGAAAATATAAATAACGATTCGATTAGTCAGAATGGTTCTCATCGAAAGCGAAAAAAAACATATGCCAATCATTGCATTTATTTGATACTACCCATTTGATTCTGAAGGTTATTCTAACAAAAAAAAAAAGCAAGGAGACAATGCTTTTTTTTCATTTAATAGCACACATGCCACGATTAAGTTCATCAATGCCTACGAATAAATAACATTTCGACAAACAAAAAAAAAATTTGCATAAAATTACGAATATTTGAAAAGTCTAAAATTGTATCTCTATGGAAGATGTTATATATTTTACTACAAAATGAAAAAAAAGTTTCAGAATATATAAGCTTATTTACTAGTTTTGAAACAATCAGAGACCATTCTCTGTGTTATCTATCTTCTTTCATTGGAATATTTATGAATTCAGAAAATTTTCAATAGAGTATAAAATTTTTCTTTGTATCACAAAGTCCTATATTAATATTTTGCTCTCGATATATGTGAATTTAATAAAACACTACTGTTGTATTCTTCCAAATATGATTCATATCGTTTTATTACATCAAAATTTTTGAATTTTTGTTTAATATTTTGATTTTGGTTTATTTATTAATCATTTATATATTCTTTTTTCTTCTTTTGTTTTTAAATATTGGATAGAGAATCAAGTCAAATATTCGAGGTTTCAGTTGATTCATGTTGTGATGAATCATTACCACTGTTATCATCATTAATTGCTTTAGTTTTTTCATTTAATATAAGATAACATTGTGATCTGATTGCTTTGCCGGATACGTACAGTTATAACAAACAATGAACAATAGTTTTAATGCATTAACCAGAAATAATGAAGAAGAGAGGGTAGAAAAAAAAGTACACGTTTGTTCATTTAAAAGAGATTAAAACTGCAATCGAGACTGCAAAAATAATGTTCAATATCAGAGTAAGGAATGTTCATCTATGGAAGACGCATTGTCAGCTAAAACTGTTTCGTCGAACCGAGACCTTATTCAAAATGGGAGGTGTTCACTAATAGACGTTCCACTGTACTCGCATAAAAAATGATGACTTAAAATTGTTTGAATAATTTGTTTTCTTTTTTCTTATTATATGTTGTTCAACGATATTCTATTTGACGAGGGAATTATCTCAACTGCAATTCGGTGTTTGAACCTATATTGAATCCACAAAGAAGTTTCCGTAAGACTAGAAAAATCTTAAAATGATTCATGCCCATAAGCCTTCGAAGCCGAGTTTTGACTGTTTTACTAAATTTTCAACCTATTCGCAGGTATTTACTGGAAAATCAAATAATGAAATTTCGATCTGAAATTCAGCTCATAGATAGACCTAATGATCCGTAGCATATTCTGAAGGTGTCAATCAAAAAGAGTGTTCATTTGTCGAAGTATTAAATTTTCAACATATAGTCGTTTGTCACAAAAATCCAGTTTACTTAGAAATTCAATATCTTGACAAAGGAACATTATTTTTGACTCAGACTTTCAGGATATTCCAAGAGCCATTAGATCTATCTATGGACAAAACTACAGATCGAATTCTGTTATTCGATTTTTCAGCAAATGTCTACAAATGGGTCACAAATTCAGTAAAACGATCATAACTTCGCTGCAGAAATCCGTGGACACAAACTCTTTTAAACTTTTTCTAGTCTTGCGGAAACTTCTTTGTGAGTTCAATATGAACTCAAACAGCGAGTTACGGTTTAGGTAGTTCCCTCGTGACATATTAATAATAAATAAGATCAGAATATTACCATCAGCATATATTATATTCAATTGTAATAGAAAAATTTGAACTTTTTTTGTCAAATCTTACCATTAATGTATTGAAGTATCACTTAAAAAAAGCATAAAGCATAGGGAAAAAAAAGTAAACTCAATAATTCCTTAAAGTTGGCCGGAAATGTAATATTCATTAGAAACAATGAAAAAGATTTAATTCAGCAATTCAAATAACAAAACTTACCATTTTTGTTTTTCGATTTCATACGAATCTCATATAAAGTAATCGTAAAAATTTCATTGAATTAATTTCATTTATAAATTGATAGAAAGAATCAAAAACATCATCAAACTCATTCTGTTTAACTGAGCTATTTAAGAATAAACAAAAGAAAAAGGTTAGTTTGACCAAGTTTTATTAATAATAGACTTTTGTTATTTATTCGATGCATCTGAAAAAGAAAAAAAAATTATGTTGACGACCATTTTAATCATTTTTCTTGTACATGGATCGTTGACAACAACCCAATAGGCGGTCTTTCTCTCTCACATTTCCTTCACTAATCAACCTTCTTGTTTAATAGTAACAACAATATATGACTGAATTGATCGAAATTCGTCCATTGAAAACAGTAAAGCAACAACGATCTCCTACATGTTCATATGCATTTACAACAATTCAAGCATCATCATCTGATTCTTCAGAAGATGAAAGTAGTTCAAATGATGAATCACAATTCATTCTTAAATTAAAACCTTCAAAATCATCAAAATCATCAAAATCATCAAAACGATCAAAACGAAATAATATGATTCAAACGTTACCAATAATTTTCAATGCGCAACCAGCTAAAAAAAAGAAAAAATCCCATGAAAAACATATACAACAATTTCTTATTAATACACAACCACCACCATCACCAACGAAAAAAGAAATTGTTATTAAACAAATAATGGAACCTTCATTATCACCAGAAATTCAATATGTACCTATATCAGTTCCAACACCGCCACTACCGACAATAATCGAAAGAAGACCTCTTGTTTATCAACATGTTTATACACCGACTTTAGTTGAAGAACGTTCAAATGGTTTTTATAGTTCTTATGAACCACCTGTTAGACGAGTCGAACGAGTTTATCCATCAAATACAAAAAGTGTTCATTTACCAAAACATGCAAAACAATTAGTTAATCGTTTTCTAGCTGGTATTGAACATGCACATAGTCGTCGAGTGAGTGAAAGATTTTGAAGAAAACTTCGTTTTCTTTTTTTAAATCTTGAAATTTTGATTGAAAATAGTATGATGATGGAAGTGATAGTGATCATAGTATTGATGATTGTAAAGTATGTCGTCGATTTCGATCAGCTATGGATGCAGAAAAACGAAGAAGTCACAGTGACGTAGATATATATCGTGGTAGCCGAGTTATTTTCGAGACACAGGGAAGTAGATTGAAAATGAAATACAAAATATCTTTTTTTTTTTTCTCACTGATATAGGAACCATATAAACATAGACATAGTCATTCAAAGAATTGTAAAGTATGTAATTTATTAGAAGAATCTGATTTTGTTATTTCAACAACAAAAGATCATCCAACGCCTAGTACAAAAGTGCGTTTTATAGATTATTTAATATGACAGTATTTTCTTTGATGATTATGTTGTAGAAACGAGAAAAACATATTCATGTAGTCGAAAGTTTTCCATCAATTGTTAAACCAACAGTAGAAACAACAACAACAACAACCACAACAACAACAGAACCAAAATTAGTAGCTAATAACACATCAACAACACAATCAAAACTAGTGGCTAATAGTACATCAACAACAATTCCTCCTATTCCAATACAATCACCTTATTATCCAATGTCGCATACGACTTACGTAGATCCGAACACTGGTCTTACTTATGCTTACGATCCAAATTGGCCATATAATCCATCGGGAACAGGAGTTACCTATGATTATTCATCTTATTATACCAATCCATCTTATTATACCAATCCGTCTTATAATACCAATCCAGCTTATATACAAAAGTATCTATCTTGAAATTCTTGCTATTATTCATTTAAAAAATAACGCCGGCAATTGTTTTTTTTGAATAACTTTTGGTAGAAACGAGGAAAAGAGTTGTAGTTTTCACTATTCAAGAGAGAATACTCAGATCCATCGAAGTAAGCCGAAATCTGATTGGACAGCAATTGATCAATTAGGTGAGTTCTCAGCGACAAAGTTAAAAACGAGATTCTGAAATCACTTCTCATTAGATTTTGATGTGTAATATGTCCAATCGATAGAGAAAAGTTTCCTCTTTTGATCTACGTAAATCTCAATTTCATAGTCGCTTCCGTTCAAGAGTTACAAGAGTTTTCCTGAACCATCTCAATTTTAGCTAATTGACTACAGAAGGCTTCAGAAGAGCTCCAGACAGGGCTCCTCCATCACGCTGAGTCGAATAATGATGGTTTTTCTTAGTTTTAAAGAGGGCCTGAAATTACTATTTGAAAATTTTCAAAACTTCGATTATCATGCTGTATCGGGGAAGTTTTTGAACTTTCAAGAATATTGAAATAATAGTCTTAGATCGGTTTGAAACTGAAAACAAATATCACCATGCAACTCAGCGTAATGAATTAACCTTATTTAGAGCCTTCTAATATCAATCTGCTGAAATACAGAAAGTCTCAGAAAAACCTTTGTAAATTTTGAACGGATGTGGCTATGAAGTTGCGATTTGCGTAGATCGAAAGGGAAGACTTTTCTCTATTAATTAGCCATGTTAAACGTCAAAACCTAATGAAAAATAACTTTAAGATCTCGTTTTTAACATTGTTGCTGAGAACTCAACTGATTGGTGAATTGCTGACTAATCAGATTTCGACTTACTTCGATGACTTCAAGTGCTCTCTCTTGAATGGTGAAAACCCTAGCTATTTCCTTTTCGTTGCTTTTGTCAAAAGTTATTCAAAAAAACAAACGCTAGCATTCCTATTTGAAATGAATAATGCAAATGATTGTATTTGTATTATCCAGTAGTATTCCACAATATGAAACGTACAATACTACTGTACCTGCAGTAACTGTTACTTCCAATCCAACAACACAACAACAAGAACATATTCAAACAACAACAACAGCAGTCAGTCCTAATCCTCTGATTGATAAAGGAACATATACATATATGCCAACCAATCGAAAAAAGCACAAATCAACTAATAAAACAGTAGTTGTTCATACATCTCGAAATCCAACACCACCAACACCAAAAATTATTATTGAACAACCACATCGATCTCGATTACCACGAAAACTTCAATCAACCACCGTATTGAAAGAGCGAACTACACAAACACCACATACAACAACGACTACTTATGTTCGAAATTAAAAGTCCTATTCACTCTTGCTTACACAACCTTATCCTTTAACTGACAATAATACAAAGTAATTCATGAACTGTAAAAAGAACCTATATCAAGCAATATCTTGCTAACAAATATCGACAAATTTTTTTTTATTGTAATTTAAACATCATTAGCTTAATCTATATACTTTAATAAAAAAAAGACAGTTTCTGAACAAAAAAGATTTGTGACTGTCCGTTCCTCTAAAACATTTATTTGTTTTTAAATCAATGTATGAAAAGTAATATCATACAGATACAAATTGAAAAGACAAAAAAAAACTAAGTCTATGCTACAGAACTAATGAAGATTGCATAGAATGTCTTGATAAGAACAAAATGAATAATTTATTCATGAAAGTGAAGTTTATATCGAAAATAAATCCTATCAGAGATTGTATAAGATTTCATTATACACTACAACTCCGTGTCCAATTGACCTACATTTTTTGATTAGACTAAATGACTCAGTAATGTTTATATGCGTTGGATTGATGAAAGATTTGTATCCCTGCAGATTATTGAATTTTGAACTAATGCATAATTTATACTGAAAGCATAATTCAAGTGGAACATAACTTGAAAAGATATATTTCATTGGAACTTATTTCTGTTGATAGTTAACAAACTCTCTCTGTTGCATCATCATGTTTTTATAAATAAATGATGTCTATTTAATTCATCGAAATAGTTTTCATTTATTTATTGTGAAAATGTGACTGAGTATATATTAAATAAAATGTGGAATCTATAGTTAGATAGTTGATTTATTTGAAAAAATAGATAATTAAATGAAAACATTTTTCTTATAGAGAATGAAAGAAGTAGGCTCTACGATGGAAGAAGAAAAGAAAGATAATAACAGTTTACCTTTCTTTCAAGCGTAGATAGGAAGATATTCTCCTATTTCCACTTCTTATACTTTCATTAAACATTGTGTTTTCCGTAAGATATGGATCATTTATTTAGCAAAAGACCAAATAGTTATACTTTGGTTTGTATATTACGGTCAGAATTTCAAGGGCATATCAACAGATAAACAATATAGATAGTTCATATTGTTTGCCAGTTGACTTTTTTTTTCTTTTAATATGCTTTTAAACTTTATATTTTGTCTTGCTTACATTCACAATCTACGAACAAAGTAAGTGAATGGAAAACTTAAAAGCATTGTTCAGTTAGTTCATACTTGAAAATATTCGAGTTATATTTATTTAAACAATATCAGTCTAAATCAATGTTTGATAGAATTCTATATTGAATTCAAGAATAATATTTGATTCAGTAGTTTATATGAATACCTAATGTAATCATTTGATTAAACATCTGTTTGGCTTTCATCGGTAAAATTAATTTGTTCAATTATTAAACATGATAACAACCGCTATCTAATATATATATATATGTATAACATTGAAAGTAAAATCACTCGAATAGACAATAACTATGAGTTTTATTCGAAATTATTTGAAAACTAATAGTGAATATAACTACATAAATAGTCTGAAATTTTATTATCATAAGAATTCATATTCATGCGTTTTGTAACTCTTGATAAATGTAACCTTTAATATTATCTGAAGTGTCGACGTTATCTGATAATTCAGTCTATGTCAAAAGCGTAAAATTTCGAACTAGCATTGATCAATTATGTTCGTCTAATACTAATGCATGATTTAAATATGGCGAATGTATCAATAAAACATAGTAACATTTTTCGATTTTCATCTATTATCGTTCATTTAGAAAAAAAATAACAGTGTTTCTAACTTGGTCACTATGTGTATTAAAGCCTTTGCATTGATTTTTGATCAACAAATATTTATTATAGCTAGTGTCATTCAATTTTGTATAGAAGTATTCATTGTCAAGTGTTCAATTCGCCATGTGACAGAAACAGATGTGCTTCTCAACATCCGACATCTTGCCAGAATATATTACATATTTATTCAATGAGTCACTTAATCATATTTGTCAGTGCAGTGTTGTGAATGGAAATGCTTTTATATTGTATTATACAAGAAATAGCTAGCTTCTTATATACATTTCTATTAGTGAAAATATTTGTCTTTTGAAAATAAGAAGTAGTGTTACATAGATAAATTAGACCAATAAATATAGAAACTCTGACCAATATCTGTACATCAAGCATAGTAAAACGTACTATGTAGGTTATAATCTAAAGTTAGTTTATTGCTTATATCATCGAAAATATAATCATTATTATTAGTTCTATTCTATATACCTTTATATATCATTGATATTAAAACGAGAATTAGTAATAAAAAAAAATGATTGCTTCTTCTAACTCCATCATTCTTACAAAAGTAGCATAGAAGAAACTATTAATAAGATAAATATTGATATTGTTTTCTATTCAAACATGCTGTTATTTCAACTGAAATATCTTGTTATTATATATGTTTTGTTGTAAAATACTAAAGAGAATGGGATTTGTATTTTTAGGTACAGATATGAATTATTTAGATCACCAAGTGTAATCGATACATTTTTATCTAATTTCGAATAATATTAGAAATCCATTATTTAAAAAAACAAACTTATACATATTGAATTACCGAAAAATTTGATACTTGTTATCATACAAATTATCAATAAGATTGTACAAAAAGATAACATTGACTTCTTGTTAAATAATCGATTTTCAATTTATTTAAAATATGATTTTCCTTTTTAGTAATACTATGTTATCTATGATATGAAACGAATATTTTTCAAATTTTTTTTTTTTGTTTTTGTTAATTATTAGTGTAAATTGAATCTTTGTATGCACAAGAATATTTATTATTGATGGTATTTACCGAAGAAATCATCTGTGTCCGATTCTTATGTGTTTCCTTGTATCATTATAAGAAGAAAAAAAACCATGACATTTAATTTATCATTGAAATTCGAATAGATCATTCGAGTATGAATTATATTGAAAATGAGAAATATAAGAAGCTTTGTTTTTCTTTTTCTCAAGATAACATAGAACATCGTTTAAGTGTATTAAATTTTTCTTATGTGAAGAGAAAAAAAAAATTTGAAAAAAAAACTGGGATAATTATTATTTTAATAACGCATTATATAAGAAATAAGAAAAAAACTGATTTGCATGAAAAGATCTAGACTAGTATTGATATAACGCGATTTAGATAATAGAGTTTTCTTGGTTGATTAAATAATTTCTATTGTTATATTGTTATTGTTTTTAATTATTTATCAATGTCGGAATAATCTTCTGGATATTCGCCTTCATCTTCCGCACCTCCATCTTGACCTGCAGCAGGTGTTGTAGTTACTTGTTGTGGTGTTGTGTCTTCCTGATCTTGTTGATCTTGTTGATCTTGTTGATCTTGCTGATCTTGTTGATCTTCTTGATCGCCTCTACCTGCGTCTTCATTTCCATAATTATCATCATCCCCACTTGGTTGTGGTTGTGGTTGCGGTTGAGGCTGTGGTTGCGGTTGTGGTGGATAGTTGTATGGATATTGATTGTATGGATCATAACCAGGATATGATGGTTGCGGTTGTGGTTGTGGTTGTGGTTGTGGTTGTGGCTGTGGTTGTGGTCGTGATGGAGGGTAATAGCCATCTTCTGTTACCTAAAATAAATCGATTGTATGAAAAAAAGATCCGAGTGAACTAGAAACAAAAAATACTTACTTGTAAATCAATCGAAGCTTGATCACTAGGATTATTTGTACCAGCATTACATTCATATCGACCAGCTTCACTTCGTGTAGCATCTGGAATTGTAAGACGTGCAATTTTACGATTACCTGGAAGATTTGTACTTTGCACTTTGTATGGCAATTGCTAGAACAACAGATTATGCATTTAGATAAAAACAAATTAAAATGCTATATATGTATTTACCTGACTGCCAGATCGTGTCCAACGTGGTTGAGCATATTGATTATGAGGTGCAATGACTTCACAATCAAAATAAATGCTTTGTCCGACAGACACTCGAGCTCCTTGATCAGGTCCATAAATGTATACATCGGCACGGCTTGGTTGATATTGTTGTGGTTGATGTGGTTGTGGTTGTGGTTGATATGGTTGTGGTTGTGGTTGATATGGTTGTGGTTGTGGTTGATATTGTTGCGGTTGATTGTATTGATGCTGACTGTATGGATCATTACTTTGTTGGTCTCGATTATCTTGTGATGGTTGTCGATATTGAATTCCCATGCTTCTTGCATATTCCCATGGTATACATCTTTCACAACATTCACCTGGTAGAGTTCCTGCTACAAAATCTTTGCCACAATTGGGTACAGCACATGCACGAGGATCACATTTCGGATCTGAATTTAATATAAGAATCATTTTAATCCAATATTTCTTATGGATTCTCACCGTGACGAGCCTGTCGTTTGACTAATCGTCGAAGTAAATTAGTTCCTTCATTATCGAATTCGTGCAACGATGAAGCAAGTAACTTTGTCGCACTGACAAAATAAACCGCAACGCATAATACAATAGATACTTGAACGAGTTTCATTCTACAAATAAAAAAAAATATATGATAAGAACAAACCTTGAGTCTCTCTATTATATTGAAAGAGATGAATAGAACATCTTCGATCAACTCGTTTTTTCGTCTCTAATGCAAACTAAAGTTGAAACGCTTTTTTGTATGGTGCCTTTTTATCTTGCTTATCTCATTTTCTTCTATGCTACAAACGTGAGCTGTAGATGAAATGAAATCCGTTCCCTTCGCCTTTCTCGCTCTCTCTCTCCCTCTCTATCACTTTTTGTCCTATGGTTGAGGATGGTATAACCCTTTTTTTCATCGTCATTTACTCACTTCAAGATAATTTTTTTTCTCCTTCTTCCTTCATTCAGCAAGGTTATGTGTACGTGTCCTATCTCGCTTGGCTAATAATCATCATCTTCTGTTTGTTCGCTCTCCCCATTTTTTGGGCTCAGTAAAAGAGAAAAAAGTATATACACGTAAAATTTATTTATATAAA